GTACATGTGTAGATCTAAGCTTAACGCACTCTGTGGACGACCGGTCGGCCTAGATCTAAGCCTACTTCTTTCATTATGGCCACCAACAATGTGAAGCGCAAGAGAAAATGCCTTTCAATTGACCAAAAAATACGAAATAATCCAGGCTGTTGACAAAAAGCAAGCTCCACTGGCACTGGCAGAGATTTGTCGTCAGTACGACATTCCACAAGGGTCGATTCACACCATTATCAAGGATAGAGAAAAGATAGTGGCTGCATACTCCAATGGAAAGTTTGCTCTAGATCGAAAGAAGAAGAGACTAACCGATGCAGATGCTGTGGACCAACTCTTCTGATGCGGTTTAAGGAGGCAAGACAAAATTGGTGCCAAAACCCCTGTTAGCGGGTGCTTGTCGAAAGGGACATGAATAAGTACAGCTGGATTAGTCCACAAATGCTTACTTTCCTTGCATTTCTGATTTAACAGGGATCAGATATAACAGGACTTTTTCTCTACTCCCACCATCCTTGTTATATCAGGTTTCCTCTGTATATAAACACACACACATCAATAGATAAGAAAAATTAAAACACCAACAAAGAGGGGAAAATAAAAGACAAACAGCAACATAATAAAATAGTGTGTAATGTACTTGTTATTATTCTTCGCGTAAAAATAATTATACATGGACACCTTAAAATTATCAAAATACACGTCTATGTTATGAAGTAGCCTTTTCTTTTTGGAAAATGCAAAAAATCGCCGCCGTGATAAAATGTCGAAAATCGTGGCCGGGACAAACGCAGATGCTAGATATGTACACCTCAACTACAAGCAAGCGCTTTCTTCACAAGCGCTCGGTTTATCGCAATCGCTGTATCGCGACTAGACGTTCTTTTCGTGCGTACCTTCAGATTTATTAAAACCTTGGCCTAAAAAATTGGCCTCCCAACTTCATTACTAGTAAAGTACGCTATGCCTCCAGCCTAAAAAAAACTTTGGCCTCCAGCCTAAAAAACTTTGGCCTCCAGCCTAAAAAACTTTGGCCCCCAACCTGAAAAACTTTGGTTTCCTTTTGATTTGTTCTTTACTATCTGGCAACCTTGGATTTCCGGACTACTGAGCACCCCTGGGGCAGTGCCACTCAGAGGCGAAGCGTCTATATAATCAAATAATCACTGCTTCCCTTCCTAATTTTGAAACATTGTCGCAGTCAAATTCACCCATAGACGTAAACCTCATAAATTAAATGTAAAAAGACGTTCATAATCACCAATGAACAATAGACTATGCCTAACCTTCAAAACCGTTTCATTGCCACAGAAATAGCCTGTTCGCCCCTATCGGGCCACTCCATAAGGAGTCACAAGCTTTGATTAAGTAAGCTTAAAGTGAGGCTGGAAGAGTCAACCAATAGATTTGAAGGGAACATGTGCATAGTAGTCAGAACTGTTTCATTGTCGCATATACCCTGTTCACCCCTTTCGGGCCACAGTTATAAGCACCCAGACGCGCTGATTATCTAAGCGAACTATTACACTGGACGAGTCTACCTCACAGATGTCAGGGGGACTAACTCCTAATAATCCTTTGACTCCTGCTACTACACTGCTAGTGCTTGTTTTTTTCCTCGACTTTTTAACGTCCTATAATCAGATCGTGACCTCGATTATGACAGCGGCTCCTGGCCGCGAAAATCTAGACAAAAAACAGCCAAATGTGAAATAAAAAATTAATAATTGGCGTGCTCTACCAAAGTGTTTCGGCTGTCTGGTATAACATGCCATTGTAGTGCTGACATCTGTGCTTCTTTCCTTGGTGTTCGTGTGTTCAAATCTAAAGTTAAATTTAAGGTTAGTTAGAATATATATTTAATGAAATACTTTCCCGATCATTTTAGCGGTTGAACAAGCATACAACATGAATTCAGGATTTGTTTTCATTCACAACTCAGAGTTGCCGCCTCCAGTGCCAGTAAGATTCTTGTGACTTGTGTGAGTGTGATATCTCCAGGCCCTATCTGGTCCCATTTCACTTTGATTACCCTGTCAAACAAGTCAGCCTTCGCCCCTGGTGCCACTGACTGTAGTGCCTTTAGGCCATTAAAGCATAGTAGAATTGTAAATGGGCTGATTCATGTCACGCTCATAACTGCGCCTGATCTTCAACAGGGAACTGCTGCCTTTTCTTTCCTAATCCTTACTATCGTCATTTCCCTCTACTTCTTTTGCATGTTTGTCATACTCTTGTGACCCGCTATTTCCGGGGTACCTTGATAGTCGAAGCAGACCTTGTGCTGCTGAATCTAGAGAGGTGAGCAGAGTAAGTCTGATTCCCTGTAAAGACTTCTCTGTTGATATTGGCGCTCATATGACCTTATGCAGTTGCCAGTGCCGTAAAACCCTCTAGGGTACAAAAAAAAGACTACTGAACGTGCCTCACGCGGATGTGCATTGTGACCAGCAGAGGTAATTTACGTCATAAAATTTACAAGCCGGCGTGATAAACAAAGGTGAGGGAAGTACAAATAATTGTAGTCTCTGTAATGCGACAACACACCAGTGAACCCCTGTTGTCTATGAAAGCACTTTTAAACCTACCGAGTGCTATTAGGTGCTATTTGAAAGTTAGTTAATGTTTATTTACTTGGAAATATATATAACAATTATTGTCAGCAATCACTTTCTTGTAATTGTCTAATTTCCAACCCC